GAAAAAAACAAGGCCCTCCTGGTTATCCTTCTCTTCTTAAAGTGAAGTTATGGACCTTCCTAGGCAGAGATTCCTATCGGGCAATGCTTCCCCAAATAGAAGTAATAGGATCTTCCTTGTAAGCAACTTCACTCAAGACTCTATACCCAGGGGATATTTCATCTTCCTTCTCAACACCTCCTCCTTCAGAGTCAGCGAAGCAAGCACAATATACGATTTAAATGAATAAGAATCAAATTCAACATCCATGGTAGGGAGGAATAACTATTTCTGTGAATCAAAATTATGTATAGACTTTTACTATGAAGAATAAGATCTAGTCCATTTATCAAGATCCTACATCTGGATTGCAAATATTGCCATGTTACAGTGTGTGGAATACATCAGGATTTCTCTCATGGATATAAGGTTTATAATATTCAGACATAGAAAGAGAAAGTCATACACCTTCATTGATGGGCTCCAATGATTGATAAAGAACATTCTACAAATGATTACAAGAATGGATGTGTAGGGTATATATTCAAAATAAATGAGTTTTATGTCCACCAGAAGGCAAGTACATGAGTTGTTTCCTATTAGTTTTCTTTGTAAAGACTCCTATAATGAAATAACCCAAATATCCACCAGTAGTACTAAGGGCAAGTAAATTTTAGAACATTAACACAGCATTGCTTAGCACTCAACAAGAACAAATGACTGTAACAACATAGGTGAATCCTACAGACATAATGTTAAGAAAAGAATCCAGACACAAGGCTATGTGCTATTTGATTCCACATATATGAGTCCCAAAGCAGTGAACACTGAATTCTTGGCAACAGAGTTCAGAATGGTGAATGGGGATTTTATTGAGTCAGAGCAAAAGGAGCTTTCTAGAATGCAGGAAATGTCCTGTGTCCTCAGGCCTGGGTGTTGTATATACGTTAACATTAATCGAGCTGTTCACCTAAGAACGTGAACTTTCTGAAAATGCTACAGTTCAATTAAAAAGAAAAATACTGGTATGAAAGCAAAATCCAAATTTGTATAGTTAGGAATTGACTTGTACTGCAGATCTGAGATGCGGGTTCAAACCCTGGGTTGGGAAGACCCCCTGGAGGAGGGCATGGCAACCCACTCCAGTGTACTTGCCTGGAGAATCCCATGGACAGAGGAGCCTGGCGGAATACAGCCCATGAGGTCAGAGAGAGTCTGACATGGCTGAGTGATTAACAATGCATGCACGCACACAGATCTGAGAGTTCAACATTTTATACTCTTAGGCAGAGATTTTTGCCATAGCATAAGTAGTGAATTAGCAAAATATGTTTCTGCTTCTCTTTACAATATAGAAAGAAGTCTGGGGGGCACAACCGTAACCAAGAGATCAAGCTCAGCCTCACTGGTGACAGGGCCAGTTGACAGGGTCGTGTGCCCTCTGATGTGACCTGTACAGTCAGAATCCTTGCCCAGGACGTTTAGCCTGACTCTGATCACCAGGGGACATCAGATGAGACCAAACTGGGAATTCCTAAAAGATAACTGACCTGGCCTCTTCAAAAATGTCAACGTCATGGAGCATCTCCAGATTAAAGACAATGTGACAAGTAAATGCCACACGTGATTCTTGATAGAATCCTAGATTCCACATTTAAATGTAGAAAAACACAGACTGTTACTGGGAAGATTTGAACATGTGCTCCCACTAGATGATGATATATCAGTGTTCAAGCGTCCTCAATGTGGTTGCTGGATTGTGGTCATTTAGAAGACTGCCTTGCTCTTAGAAAATAAATCTGAAGTCTCTTAAGTCATCACAACGTCTGCAAATAACTCGCAAGTGGTCCAGCCAAAAATAATAAACCTCGCATGAGAAAGAAGAAGAGGAGGGGAAAGAGGAGATGACAGCATAGCCAAAGTTTGTCCCAGTCCCTTGGGAGCGAGATGAACCCTGCTCATCGGAAATTTGGTTTGGAAGTCCGGACCGGCGATCCCACACAAGCATCAAGAGAGTGTGGAAAAGTCTGCTGTTCCCATAATGAGGCTTTGCTAGGGGAGCGGGGCAGACTCCTGCAAATGTGTCTGACAGTGGCTCGGGAGCCAGCTGGAGTGGGTTTCACTGCGGTTACAGGTGGTCCTGGGATTTCTCGTGCAGGGTTCGGGGCTTATGTGGACTGAGATCCCACCGGGACCAAGGGATGGACCACGTGGGCTGTGGGATCAGCTTGCCTGGGTTCGGAGCAGACGGGAAGCTGGGTGGTGATGTCTGAAAGCTGTCTGCAGTGAAACATCAGAAATGGAGTCAAACGCTGTATCACATTGTCACACTGCTGACACAGGTGAAGAGGACCTCTCCGGCACTGCATGGATCCTGTAGTTTTTCTGTCAGTGGAACACTTTTCAAAATAGAAAGTGGGAGAAGAGAAGCTGTTCCTACTTCCCTCTCATTAGTCCCAGGCATTAATGCCTTAAAATTCATGCAGTCGTAAGGACAACTATTTTTATAAATATGCAATGCTCTTTTAATCATCTGTGCGTGCTTAATCTCAAAGCCAATGTTCTTTCACAAATGAAAGATTTTACAGCTCAGTATAAATATTCCTCCTTATCTCTAGCCATTTACAAGTAGAATTATCATGGTCACTATTAAATAGAATACTCAATGCTTTAAGTTGCCAAAGGTACAGACAAATTGGTCATTTCACTTAAGAAGAAATCAAGTGCCTATTGTGTAGCATGTACTGTATCAAGGGCAGGAATAAAACACTGAATAAGACAGGAATTATCAGTTCTAGACAAAGCCTTCTGTAAACACACCAGCTAAGACGCTGCCCCTGCCCTTTGTGAGTTTATATTCTGTCAATATTTAAGAATCTCAAAGTATACAAAATGCATAAAAGTCATGAAATCCAGACATATCATTGCAGTTACATGGGAGTTCAAGAGTAAAACTTACACCAATCATAATTTTCATGGATCACCCCAGAAAGTGTACTCATATCCTATTTTATAATAATATACACTAAATGACACAACTCTTTCTCTGTTCTTACACAAATTTACAGCAAAATAAAAAACCTGTGCCTATGTATAGTAGCTGACATGGACAGAACAGGATACCATATCCACATTTGCTCTAAGCAGGAAGCTGGAGAAGAAACACTGGCCCATAAATCCTGAAATTCATCACAGTTACAATCGCCCCACACCTAGCACTACTCGGACCTCAAATACTCTGTCCCACTGGTTGATTCGAGGAGTGTGCTTATATTTGCTAATCACTTCAGTTTCGGGTCCCTGAAGTAGAATGTCCACAGTGAGAGCCGATCAGGCTGCACAAGAAAACAGGGGCAGCTGCAGGCCTTTGGTGGAGTTTCAGTGGTCGTCACCTCTTTGATCCCACTTCTGTATGTGAAAACTTACCAACAGATACATTCATGTGTGTGTGCGTGCGTGCATGCATGCTTAGTCATACCCGACTCTTTGTGACCCCCATGGACTATAGCTACCAGGCTCCTCTGTCCATGGAATTTTCCAGGCAAGAATACTGGAGTGGGTTGCCATTTCCAACTCCAGGGGATCTTCCCCACCAAGCGACCTAACCTTCATCTCTTGCATCTCCTGCCTTGACAGGCAGATTCTTTACCACTGATATTCTTTACCTGGGAGGCCCCAAGATTCATTTACACTTTACTCAAAAAATATAATGTGGTTGTTTGTTATAGCATTCTTTATAAAAACAAAAGACTAGTAATCCCACAAGAATTCAATCAATGGCTCAGTGATAAAGAATCCACCTGCCAATGCAGGAGATCCAAGAGATTCAGGTTAGGTCACTTGGTGGGGAAGATCCCCTGGAGTAGGAAATGGCAACCCACTCCAGTGTTCTTGCCTGGAAAATTCCATGGACAGAGGAGTCTCATGGGGTCCATGGGGTCCATGGATACAGTCCATGGGGTCACAAAGGGTCGGACACGACTGAGCGACTAACACTTTCATTTCCTCTTACTGATAATGTACGAGACCCTGGTTTGGGTTCCTCGGGTTTGATCCCACGGTGGGAAGATCCCCTGGAGAAGGGAATGGCAACCCACCTGAGTATTCTTGCCTGGAAAATCCCCTGGACAGAGGAACCTGGCGGGCTACAGTCCATGAGGTCACAAAGAGTCGGATGCTGAGCATGACTGCAGAAATGCCTGTTACACTGTGCTTTGGAATACTATACAGACAATTAAAAACCAAGTAGATCTATATATGACGGCAAATTTCCAATACGAAGGTAAGTGAACAAAGAAAGACTGGAGAAGAGTAAACACTGAATGCTGGTGTTTGTCTAAGGAAGCATATCAAGTAGGCACCCCGGTAGAGCTGACCCCTGAGCAACGGCACGAGTTCACGGCTACACAGATTTTTCCCAGTAAATACAGTGTCACATGACCCACAGTTGGTGGATCTGCACTTGCTGAACCAAAGATGGGGAGGGCTGACTGTGGGGCTTGAGCGTTCCTGGGTTCGGTACCCGCGGCGGGTCCTGGAGCCAATACCTCGAGGATATTAAAGGACAGCTGAATACACCCAGAATACTTCTGGTCGGCGACATGACAACCTGGTCACACTGGTGACCCTTGGAAAGCTGAATGGGGTTAGGAGAGGATCGACACATTTTGCATCTTTTCTGTATATCCTCTTGTGATATTTACTGTTTTTACCATGTGCATGTGTGTATACATATATGTATATATGTGTGTCTGTGTGCATCTATGTATATAATATGATGAGGGTGACAGCTGTGATTGCTATGCCGTGTTCATCAAGGAAGAAATGAGAAAGTTGAAGAACTCTCAACCATCTCACATCACAGTTGAGCAGCTCTCCTCCTGCTAACAAGGTGAAGGTCACTCCGGGTCCCACTTGCAGGGTTAAGGCCTGTCGTGGAAGCATCTCCACATGGCTCTTGCCTCCATTTATCTGCAGTCCTGTGTCTGCACTGGTGGGAAGGGGGAGGGGGCATGGGGGGAATGGGAGGGGCTGGCAAACCAGAGCATCGGCGAACTGCTTACACCGTGAAGAGCTGCTGCGAAATCGTGTTCACGCCCCACCAGAGTGCCTGGTGGTTCGGGAAAGAATGGAAAGAAAGCATTGCGCCAGCCACCAACCTGCCCAAACTGCAGATTTTAAATGACTTCCCTTCCCCAGCCTTCCGGGTCAGTAAGGACTGCCGTTCATCTACTTCCTTTGTGAGCTAGCCTCTAAACTTGGAGACCGGTTATGGTTTAACCCACTGGCTTCTTCACGCAATCCTATTCAAAGTCTTGGAAACTGGGCCCCCCAGGTCAGCTGGTTCAACCTTCTGAGGCTACAAACGCAGAAACAGGTGACAGGCGAGTCTCCTTAGACACATGGGACTCCGTTTCTGGTCCACACGCGAAGGCTCCACCTGGACACCACCCTCTGTATCCTTGTCCTTTTTTCCCTCCAAGTTCCCTCGTCCCGCCACCGTCTTTGCCACATTGCAGGGCAACGTGGCCTTTCTGATGGGAACCAGAAACTAAGGTGAGAATCAAAAAGCCAAGCACCTGGATGATAACTCTCTTTGCTTCTGCAGTATGTGTGCCTGTGAGATTTTCTTTAGCATCAGTTTCTTCCAGGGGTCATGCCTACTCTTTCTCATTAATGACTGTAAACTGCTCTTTTAAGAGATTTTTCATAATAATAAAAATCTAATCAATTGTTCTAAAAAAAAAAACCAGTAATCCATTAATCTGTTAGAAAAAAAATCACTTCAGCTGACTTTAGGGGGTCATGTAGATGTAGTCGGTTAACCCCAGATGTTCAGCTTTAACTGGTTTTGTGAATGCTGTCTTTCAGTCATGTCCGACTCTTCGCGACCCCATGGACTGCAGCCCACCAGGCTCCTCTGTCCATGTGATTCTCCAGGAAAGAGTACTGGAGAGGGTTGTCATTTCCTTCTCCAGGGGATCTTCCTGACCCAGGGATCGAACCCATGTCTCCTGCGGCTCCTGCACTGGCAGGCAGTTTCTTTACCACTGGGCCACCTGGGAAGCCCAACTAATGCAATATTGTGTGATTCAACCAAGTTTCTATGTAGATAAGAATTCCTTGAAAAGGGACCATCTAAAGAGAATGAAAAAAAAGAAAAAAAGAAGTATCTTCTTAAGGGATAAGATTCAATAAATATAATTATTCGGTGTTTCCACCATGGCCTCGTCCCATATGGTCTTTGATGTATATCCCCCATCATCTGCACGGCCAGCTGAAACTCTTAACACACGCTCATGTCTACGTTCAAAGCCACGAATGATAATAGAAACAAAACAAAAATTGTGGCTGGCAGTGTAGACTCACACACCAAATTCCTCTAAGTTGTAAAGGCAAAACCTTTACATATTTAAATTTTATGCAAATACCTCCCATCAATAGAGTCTGAACATTTTGGTCAGAGAAACTGGGGCCACAAGAGGACCATATTCTGATTATCATCGTGATTTTACACACACACACACACCAGATGACTTCAGTGGACATCCAAAGAGATGCTCAGCCCAGCTAGCACGGGGCGCTTCACTTGCCACTCGCTCCAGATGAGCAAATAGGTCAGAGAGAAAAAGGGAACCATCCATGTGTGTTCACAACGACCCATTCACCGTCTTCATTCATCCCATAAGGAATCTCTAGAAGAGAAACTAGGAACAAGACGGGGGCTATCACAGGAAACCCCTGCCTGGGGCCTGAGTGGAGACCCACCCTCCTGATGGGGTGCAGACTGGGAAGACGTGGAAAGGAGCAACGGTTTTCTGTCCTTCTGTTCAAAGTTCCCCCTCCACTCTCTCCAGGCAGCCTGCCTGCTTATCAGCTGTTTAAAACTTTAAACCGAGCCAACCTGCTGACAGACGGTCTTAAAATCAATGGCTCCCTCTGAAACTTAATTTCCAATTGCCTTAATCTAATAAATGCCATAATGTACTTTCAGTGGTTGAAATGAACAAGTGCGTCAGCCTTCCAAGTTGTTGGAACTCGGAAGACACCCCTCCTGATATTCCAGGTCAGCAAGACCGGTGCAAGCACCTTTGTCTGCTATTTGGTGTGCAGGTTGTCAGGTTTGGCTGAAAGACTCAGAGGGAAAACAACAACCTTGAGTTGGAGAGGTGGTAAGACCCCAATCCTCAACCACGTGGAAGAGTCCTTGTACATTTCGGCGCAGGTGCAGAGCCACCTGTCACTCAAACCCCAGCTTCTACCCGGCCTCCCGTCTCCTATGGTCCAAGTACCCACAGCTATACTGCCTGCCATAAAAGTAGAAATGGTTGCCACCACATTCGATGAGGGCCATGGGTACCACTTCCCAAGGAAATGCATTCACCCTCCTATAATGGTTGAGTATTCACACACTTCATGGTTTCTACAGTTACCTATTCATAGGCAATTATCCAGTACCAATTTTATATGCTAATGCAAATGTACAGTAAAAACATTCGATATTTCCAAGTTTGAACAAAGCCAATCTATATAGCAAGTACCCTCAAAATTATGATTACCTCTGAATACCACAGATACAGGTACTTACTACTGTCCATTGTGGCTTGCAGAATATTCTCGGCCAGGTCCTACCACACTTGGGTATGTGGGATTTTTCTTATTGTTGGTGGAAGACCTCCAGCTCATAGCTTTTAAATTCTAATACCACACAACTTCACCAAAAGGATGATAAGTGTTCGTTAAAATAGTATTCTTATTGCTTTTCATAACTGGCAGCCAGGCATTCACTAGTTATTAAAAAATGGCATAAAAATGTAAACAGGTTGTTATTTACCAGGGTGATCACGTCAGTTCCCATAGGCTTCACCAGTTGCTAAAGCAAGGGAACATGGTATGTACCTTTGAGAGCAACCTCAGGCCAAAACTAAATGCTGAGTATGGAACTGATGAATCTGTCAGACACCCGTGATGATACAGAGTCGTGCTCCCCAAAGATGGAAAAATACCAACCAGTCATTGCAATAGCTGCATGTCTTACCAAATGCCATCTTTGCAGCAAGATGAATGGAAGAGAGGTACTGACTTCTGCTCTAAGATGGGAACTGAGCCAAGAAAGTCAAAACACGGGCAGACACGGAGATACAACCTCTTCTGGGGTGAGGGCCGGCTTTGCTCACACCTGCTTCCCTTAAATCCCACTGCTCGGGGAGAGCCGGGTCTGAACCTTGGCGTTAGAACGCACATGAACCACGCACGGTGCCGAGTGGACACACACACCCGTGCTCTGCAAGCAGCCAGGACTTGGGTGACTCTATGTCTCTCATGACGTCAAAGGAGAAGAGCCATGGGCTCCATCTTGAGACTCACGCCCAGCCCCCGGGTGCCCGGCTTTGCCTGGCACCCCGCAGCACCGCCCAGGAGCCCTCTCGCATTGCCCACATGCCCTCTCAGCTCCCCGTCCACAGCCAGACACCTGCCTCTGGCTCTTATTTCCCTTGTATTTTAGCCTACAGCCCAGAAAAGAGCTTGCCTGGCTCATTTGGGCCTACCTTTAACCAGATCCAGACTGCTTTCAGTGGAATAAAAGGTATCTGTTTGGGTTCCTTTCATGTGGCACTCCGATATCCAAGGACTACTTTGGCTTCCCTAGGAAATTCCCCACGTTCACTTTTTCATGGGTCTGATCCCAGGTAGAGGAGCCCCCAGCTGCTGGCACCTCCAGCATCTCCCCTTGAGATCACAGCCCAGCACTGGATCGGCCTCAGACCTTCCCTCCAACTTGGGGAGGTTGCACGGGGAGGTCTGGCTGAGCAGGGGCTCAGGATTCAGCATGACGCATCCTTAGACCAGAGCTGCCTGGGAGAAAGCAGCAGCCCTCCCCAGGGCCCTCGGCAGCCCCCAGCCACCCCGGCACCCCGCCCTGCAGACGCAGGTGTCCGGCACCCAGACCTCAGTGCAGGCCACACATCCATGGGCCAGCTCGTCACCCCCACTGCTGTGACAGACAGGCAGGCAGAGGACGGGTGGGGTGGGGGAGAACGGCCAGCAACCTCGGTGCCCAAACTCCTCCCTCCCCTCTCCCCCCCCCACCCTCCCCACAGAGTTTCCAAGTTCACCCAAACGTGGGTCCTCAGTGTGGGCCTCATCAGCTCCATCCCAGCCCACCCCCAGTTTCCTGGAGACACATGCAAAATCCCATCTGTGGGGTGGGGGGGGGCAGGGGGGAAAGTGGACTCAAGTTGCCCCGACACGGGGGAGCTGCCGTGGAGGAAGGCTGGAACATTCCTGCAGAGGTTCTCAACTCCCAAACCTCCCCGGCCGGCTCCTTCCCTTGCCTCCCCCCCCCCTCCCCCTACCTTGCTCCTCGCTGCCGCCCTCAAACCAGGCCGTGGGTTCCTCCTCTGGGAGCCGGGGCTCGCCTCCACCCTCCAGGGCTTTGCGTTTCTTCGACATCTCTGCCGGGGCTGGGGCTCTGGGGTGCTCTTTCCCCACCCCCAGCCTCCCCCCCCCACCTCTGAGAGGAGAGTGAAGGTGGGGTTAGCTGGAGGGGAGGGAGTCGGGGAGAGGGCTGGGGGGAACGGCTGCTGGCGGAGGGAAGGCACTTTGGAGGAGCAGGAAGGCAGCCAGAGGCAGGGACCCAGCAGGCGGGCGGGCACTGAGATCCTACGACCGGTTCCTGCAGACCTACGTCTAGGGGGCTGTGTGCTCTCTCTCTCCGTCTCTCTCTCCCTGCCTCTCTCTCGCTTCCCCTCTCCCTCTCTCCTTCCTCTCTTTCCTTCCCCTGGAAGGGTAAGCCCAGAGGAAAAAGAGACCCAAAAAAATCAGGGAGAGAAGGCTCCTGGCCCCTCAGCCGGTTTCTTTCTGCTGTAGGAGGGGGTAGGTGGGTGGGCGCCCTGTACCCAGACTCCTGGCCCTGCCTGGGAAGGACTGGGGTCCTGGGGAGAGGCGGTGGGGTGGGGGTGTCTGTGGCGTTGGGGAGGAAGTATTTGCAGAGGACTGCTAGGAGAACTGGGTGGAATGAAGGAAGGAAGAGGCTGCAGGATGCCAAAAAAGTGATGCCTTCAGGTGCTAGGGGCGCAGACCCCCTCCTTGGCTGTGACATCATCTGGGCTTTTGCAAAAGGGGCTGGGGGAAGTGGGGAGGTGGCTGGTGGGCCCGGGAGAGCTGCAGCAGAGCCCAGAGGCAGAGAGGGGAGGGGGTCTTGTCCCGCTTCAGAACCCGGGAGCCAGGAGGGCGGGGGCCGACTCCGAGGCCCTCTGGGGTTCAGGCTCGCAGCGAGCGCGGCCCTTTGCAGCTGGAGGGCAGCCTTCGCCAGGACTTGGAGCTGGGAGCGCCAGCCAACTGAGGCTGGAGGCACTGGAGTTGACTGCAGAGTCCCTCACCTCCTGTGCCACCCCTCCAGGCTTCTGGTTTTACCCACTCGGGTCTCTTTCTTTCTTTTTTTTTTAATCACTTCCCCCAACATCCCTTCCTCAAGAGAGTCATGTCCCCAGACAACACACACACACACACACACACACACACACACACACACACACACACACACACACACACACACACACACACACACACACACACACACACTTCCTTATTGCCCAAAGAGATGAGGGAAATGATGATAACTTTTTTTTGACGTAGGGAAAGGTTGGATTTGAGTTTTTCCAGACTCCCAAGGGTTAAGAATAGGTAAAAGCAAGAGTCCACTTACCCGCCAAAGTATGCGAAGCACCTATCTGCTTTCCACTTCAACTTCACACGTTTAAAAGAGCGAGGAGAAGCAAAGAAGGGGGGGCGGGAAGCAGGCGAGCCAGGAGATGGATGGGTTAGGGGCTCCATTGAGAACTGCGCAGAGCAAGTTGCCCGTGAGCCCAGGTGACCCAAGTTCACGACCTCGCCAAGAACACTCGCTCCGGCTCCGCTCCGCAGGCACGTCCCAAAGGCTTGGGGCAGTCCGCATTTCGCGCTGGTCATCTCGGAAAAGGGGGGAAACAACTCTAAGCGGAGGGGGTCTTTCCTCTTGCCCTCTTGTCCTTCTGGGGGGTCTCCAGGAAAGCCTCGCCGAGCGCGCTCCAGGCGTCAGGCAAGACCGGTCCATTTCAGCTCACCCTCCTTGCGGCCGCAACTTTGGACCGCGCACCTACAGGGGACACGGGTGCGAGGGTGCGTGCGTGTCTGAGTGTGCGTGTGTGCGAGTGCGCGAGTGTGCCCGCCCATGTGCCCGCGCGCACCGGGCTGTGGGTGCGTGTGCTTGTCGGGAACGGCGCTCCCCGGCTGCCTGGAACTTGGAGAGTTTTCCTTTAAGCCGGAGCTGCGGCTCGGACACCCCCCCCCCCCCCCCGGGTCCAACAGGAGGCGATGACGTCTGTAGCCTCGTTGCCAGCCAGTCCCCAGGCTGCCGCTGCCGTTCATTGACAGGAGCGGGCGCTCAGACGTCAGCAGCTGGACCTTTGGCAAAGCCGCTCCGGCGGAGACGGCTCCCACCCCCGCACCTGCCAGCCCGCCCGGGCGGGGGGGTTGGAGGGGATGGGAGAAATCAAAGTCTCTAGGGAGGGGCCCGGGGAGCCGCTGGGGCTGCGGGGAGTGGGGGGAACTCCGATCTGCCTCCTTTGTCCTGGAGCCCTGGAGTTTATAAATAGTGCTGTCTCCGGCCAGACTCGCAACGCGCCCCTCCACCTCCCCAACGCGCACCCCGCAGCTCCCCCGCCCCTGCCCGCCTCGCGCGGCCGGGAGGGAGGAGGGGAGGGGGCGGGGAAGCGGGGAGTGGAAATAGACGTTGCTTCGCTTCCCTCTTCCCCATTCATAGATTCGGTTTGAGTCTTGGGGCGGCCGCTCGGCTCCTTGAGCCGCAGTGAATGAAAGCGTGCCCGCGCGCGGGGACCACTGGGCGCGCGGGATGCCGCCCTCGCGGGGGGCGCTCCTCCCGCGCGGAACCCGCGCCCTCTCCTAGGTGCGGGTGGGTGGACCCCCCAACGGCCACCTTGGAGGGACCAAGAGCCTGGCCTCTCTTGCCCCTCCCACCCTGGGGTTCTTGTCACTGCCCCTGCGGTGCTGGAAGGCCAAACACAGAGCGAGCTGCGCTCAGCCCTCGCGCCGCGGAGAGCCGGGACGCGCACGCAACCCGGGCCAGTCCGCGGCGGCCGAGATAGTAGCCACAGCGAGAGGAGCAGCCAGGAGGCGCGGGGCAGTGGTCGAGGCCACGGTTATCATCTCCCCCTGCGCACACTGGGCGGCACAAGCCGGCGCCCTCTCGGCTCCAGAACCCCAGGGCGCAGTGGTGCGGGCTGCGGAGGACCGCAGAGCGGTGGGTTCCCACCCACCCAGCCCAGCTCGAGGGGGACCGGTGGGCTCGCGTCCACTGCGCGCTGCTGCGGGGAACGGAGCGCTGGCGAGGCCCACGCCGGCCGGGAGTGCAACGCGGCGCCCCCGCCTGGGCCCACCCTTATCCCACTTCTCGCCCGAGATCCCACAGGATGGAGTTCTCAGGCGCGGGCGCTTGATGGACGCTCGCAAAACCTGTCACCGGACTCAGAGAGCTGGGTGGCCGAGGGGTCCCGGGCATCTCTGCAGCAGATGCCCAGCAGCAGGGAGACTGACCCACTGACCCTTCTGAGCCCGGTTTGGCCCAGCCTGTTGGGAGAAGCTGCCCGCTCAGGGGGTCCATTACCTCCTAAGTCCTCTGCTGGGTCGGTGCCACCCCAAGCATGCCGCCCCATCTCCCCGGGGGATAAAACAAGTCTTGACACATGTCCTGCATCCGTCCACCCAGTTTTTCTCCCCTTGACCCCACTGTCTCTGGTGTCTCTCCTCTCACTGGCTCTTGGATCAAGGCCAGGATGGTCCGAGGAGGTCTAATTCAGGGACTTAGCAAAATCAGGTCTGCCCCAGGTCAGAGGTCACCCTGAGTGCTTAGAGCAAAGGTCAGTTCTTAGGACTCGGCCTCAACTGACTTGTGCACCATGTTGGATGGAATCTCGGGTCCCCTTCCCTCCTGTGGACACACCTTTCCTTGGCTCGTTTCCATCCTGCCTTCCCACCCCGGCCGTTCCCTCTGGGTCCCCTTGGTTGAATCTGTGTCTCCCCATTTTCTTGATGCTGGACTTGCCCACGGCTCCCTTACCCTCTCTCGTCATCCGCCTCCTTGGTGGTCTTACTCAGCCTCCTGGTCTTCGGTCCTATCTCAACCCTAAAGAGTCGGCATTCATATCCTCAGCTCAGAGCTCTCCCCGAAGTGCTGGGGTTGCCTATCTCTACTAGCACCTCTACGCGGGTGTCTAAAAAGCACCGGAAACTCATCAGGACCCACTGGGTCCCTGATTTCACCCTCACCCCAAACCTGCTCTGCCCACAGTTCTTCCCTCCTCTGTAAAAGGGTGTTTTATCCTTGCTGTTGCCCTTGGGCCAAAATATTGGGGTACAGCTGACCCCTCTTTTTTCACCTCCCACACGCCACTGTCAGCAACTGCTGTCCCCTCTACCTTTAGACCTGGACCGGCCCCACGGCCCCACGGCCCCCTGCCCCACGGCCCCCTGCCTGCGCTGCGGTTCCTGCCCCTGCCCTGCCCGTGTGCCCATCACACAGCCATCAGGGCGGCCAGTCCAGATGCAAGACCCCGTCTCTGCCTTCTCCCCCACAGTGATGCCGGGTCCCCACAGTGGCTGGCATCCCTCTCTGGCCTACCCCCTGGTCCCCAGTGCCACTGACCTGTCCTGGAACCCACTCAGAACTCTTCCAGAACCCACTCAGAACTTCCCTAGAACCCACTCAGAACTTTCCTAGAACCCACTCAGAACTCTTCCAGAACCCATTCCGAACTTCTAGAACCCACTCAGAACTCTTCCAGAACCCACTCAGAACTCTCCTAGAACCCACTCAGAACTCTTGAACCCACTCAGAACTCTTCTAGAATTCACTCAGAACTCTTGAACCCACTCAGAACTCTTGAACCCTTCTGGAACCCACTCAGAACTCTTTTAGAACCCACTCAGAACTTTCCTAGAGCTCACTCAGAACTATTCTAGAACCCACTCAGAACTCTCCCAGAACCCACTCAGAACTCTCCTAGAGCCCACTCAGAACTCTTCTAGAGCCCTCTCAGACCTCTGCATCTGCAGATCCCCTCCAGACGCTCCTACTGAAGACCCTCAGGATGACCTCTCTTTCTTCTCACCTCTACTCGGGGACCTCCTCCAAGCAGCCCTGAAGGCACCTCCCCTAAAACTTGCCCTCACTTCCGGCCCCCATCCTCGCTCAGGAATGGCACTTCTGGCCGCTCCTTCTGCTGTACTCATTTGCCTTGTTTATTCTGTCTCACCGTCAACTGCCAGCTTCTCAAGGACAGGGGGGTTTTGCCTTTGGTTATAATTTCATCAAAAAGTAGTCTTGGCCTCAGGGAAGTTCCTTACCTCACCAAACATTCCGGAGATGCTGGGTTTGTTTGGTGACAAATAGTAGAAGCTGGGCTTGGAGGCTGGCAGGCGGTCCCCAGATCAAATATCCATCTGGGAGGGTGGGAGCCCCTGCCGGACACCAGTGAGGCCTCTGGGCGACTCGGTTCTCTGCTCGCTCACTTTCTGCTTCCACTGCTTCCTTCTCTTTTTATCTCCCTGTTGGGTTTTTCTTTCCTGCAAGCCTTAAGCCTGCTTTGGTCCACATGGAGGTGAAAAGGACCCCAGCTGACCTGGGTCCTCAGAGACCACATTCCTTCCCTTGAGCCTTTATTCCTGGGTTCCCACCCTTTTCATCCAGCAAATAAATACCCAGCTCCTGAGACTTCAGAAGGCCCCCTTGTGCACCCAACATTGTACTCATTCGGCAACCACGAGCTTGGGGTCAAAGCTCGGAGGCCCTGATCGCTGCAGCAATCCCTGGCCAAGGGGAAGGCAGGGGCACAGAAGAGGCCCTGGGGGTGGGCATGCCGGCTGCGGGTGCTCTCTGGTGGGCGCCCCACCTAGGAGGCGCCCCGGGCCAGAGGCGGCAGATTGTTTGGAAGGCCCAGGCTCCAGGGCCAGGCTGCGGAGGTGAAGCTGTATCCTGACGGCCCTGGCAGGGGAGCTTCCAGAAAGAGGTGAGATGGAGTCCTCTGTGTGCGAGGGAGACAGCTGGGGAGTGGTGGAAAGGAAGCGGGACCAGAGGCAGGGCGAGTGGGCAGCCCAGAGGCTGTTTCACGGATCCCGAGTTAAAGGAGGGAACCAGGCTGGCCGCGTGGGTGAGAGGAGGGAGGAGGTGAGGATGCTGGAAATAGTCCTGGGTGCTCATGTGACGGCCCATCTTATGAAGTAGCATCTGAAAACTCAGCCCAGCTGAGCTGAGGATTCCAAGGAGGCTGACGTCAAGGAACAGACGGGCTGGCACCACTGGATGCCACAGGCAAGGGCAGGCTGAGACTGGTCACCCACTCTGCACATCCGGAAACCCCGTGTCCCCCTGTCACCTGCTGGCCTGAGCAGGTGAGGGGGGCGGGGCTCAGGAGAGGACTTGGGGCAGGCCACCTCGATCACGCTGGAAAGGGAGCCTGTTTCTGCATGCTGGCCACTGCTTCCCCCAAACGCATCAGGTGACAGGACATGATGTGGATGAGGCCCTTTCACTGAAACTGCCAAAAGGGGAAATGGACCAGTGATGCAAGTTAACAAAGGTCATAGGCTCTGAGGGCAACTCCCCGACTACAGTCAGGACATCCTAGCTGTGACCTGGCCTTCCCCGGCTCCATCTAGAATAAAAGCCTCGGGGTGGGTTTTGGGATTGCGGCGGGGGCAGGCAGGGGCAGGCAGGCAGGCTGGGGCTTGTCCTGACACCTGCAAGGCTCAGCTTGAGAGGGTGGAGGCTGCCTCCCTCGGGGACAGTTCATTCATTCCCCTGGTTCTTGGAAGAGCATTTCCAGGTTCTTCTGGTTCCAAGAAGAAGTGAGATCTTTGGATAATGGGGTGTTAATTCTCACCAATCCAAGAACAGTCTGGGGGAAACAAGGGAAATCAGAGCAGGCTTCCGACCAAGTGGACTGCTTGGAAAGCAAGGCTGAGGACCCTGTACTGACCGCAGAGCATAAGCATTTCTGCTCATGGAAGAACTTCTAAGTCGTGGGAAGTGATTTTTCAAACGGGAATTGTAGCCACAGAAAGTCTGAAAGCAGCTTATTTAACACTGTGAATGGGTTAAATAGAGTCTAATCACTGATTCGCAGAGTGGAAGGAACATTCAATTAAGTAATGAGACTAATCCCCCAGTCCCAAGTGCTGGGCTGTGAATGAGGAAAATGAGGGCAAATAATGTAACGCCACCAAACAGCAGTGGGCTTTCCGTGGTTTGTCTTCTTTTTAAAGGAAGGACAGTATACTGTGGACTGTGTTCAGAGTTTTGAACCGATCATATAAATTCAGAAATTTTATTACATCATGTCTGTTCCATAAGTAATGTGGTTTGATTATCTTAAATATCTCATCTATTTAGAAGTCATCACTCACATTTTTTAGTCTTCTGTTTGGAAATAATTTCAAATAACAGAAAACTGGCAAGAATAAAAATAGTACAAGGAACTTTCTGATATCCAGGCCCTCCTCTGGTGAAATGTTAGTCCCATGCATGGTCTCTACTTTTCACATCAATGATGCGAGCACTATCTCTTGGCCTTTTACCCCTGAAACACTTACATGTGCATTTCCTAAGAATAAGGATATTTTTATTTAAGCACAGTACTGTAGTCAACCTCAATAAATAAATATCCCTGATAAAATACTTTTGTCTCACCTCTGTCCGTATTCCAGTTTTATCCATTGATCCAATCTCTTTTATTTTATTTATTTTGCAAGGTAAGTTTTATTTGAGGCAAAATGAGGGCTGTAGCCCGGCATACAGCATCTCAGGTAGCTCTGAGAAACTGCTCCAATCAGGTGGCGGGGAGCAGGGGCCAGTGGGGGAGGGGGAGGTCAATGTATGTGATTTTGGCAAAGGGGGAGTTGATGCAGTTGAACACTTATCCCTTCATGGTGACACCAGATCCAAGGTCTTTTAGACTCGCTCTCCCCTCCAAAGCAGAATGCAGACTGTTGTTGTTGTTAAGGCACTAAGCTTTGTCCTACTCTGTGACCCCATGGACTGTAGCAAGCCAGGCTTCCCTGTCCTTCACTATCTCCCGGAGTTTGCTCAAACTCATGTCCATCAAGTCGGTGATGCCATCCAACCATCTCATCCTCCGTTGCCCCCTTCTTCTCCCACCTTCAATCTTTCCCAGTATCAGGGTCTTTTCCAATGAGTCAGCTCTTCACCTCCCGAGGCCAAAGTATTGGAGCTTCAGCTTCAGCATCAGTCCTTCCAATGAGTATTCAGGACTGATTTCCTTTGGGGATTGACTGGTTTGATCTCCTTGCAGTCCAAGGGACTCTCAAGAGTCTTCTCCAGCCCCACAATTTGAAAGTCTAGGGATAAGGATTTCATTGAACTGGCCCAGTCTTAGATTCTTTCAATCTGGGACATTTCCAGAACCCTTCTTTGTCTTTTATGACACGGACAATTTGGAGGACTATGGACATCCCCTCCCCTCATTTTACAGTAAACCGTTTCCTGGCGTGAGTCGGTTAGGTGTTTCCACAGGACTGGATTCGGGTGATCTCAACTGGAACGATGCCAAGAGGAGGCTGTTCTTTACCAGACTATCACCTCCAGAGGCCCTGACGTCCACTCAGTTCTCCCTGAGAGTCTGAATCCTGGCCTGGCTCTTGGCTGACACTTCCACTGTGTCATCACGCATTTGATCTCATGCTCACGGCTAATAAGCATTCTGGGAAGAGTGGCTAGTAGTCCACTCCTCGTTGAAATCTGCCCCGAATCTGAGGGTTCTGACTCGGTCCGCTCCTGCCTGGACAGCTTGTGGACTCAGCACACCCTCCACGTTTACTCGTTAGCCCTGCAGCAGGCGAGAGCCTCCCTTCCCCCTGATTCACACATGCGTGTATCTGTGTATTTGTGATGTTGTGAGTACTGAAGTCTTAGGGACCCACAGATTCCTGGTTCTCATGGTTCATAATTCATTTCTTTCTGAAGATGTACTTTGCTTATTTATTTATTTTTGGCCGCACTGGGTCTTCACAGCTGCACAGTGGCTTTCTCTAGTTGTGCTGAGTTGTCTCTGGTCGTGGCGCCCGGGGCTGTCTCGGTGGTGGCCTCTCTTGCTGCGGAGCACGGGCTCCAGAGTGCAGGTTCAGAAGTTGTGGTTTACAGGCTTAGTTGCTTTGCATCATATGGGATCTTCCTGAGCCAGGGACTGAACCCATGTCCCTTGCATTGGCGGAAAGACTCTTAACCAGGATATTTGTTCCGTGTGTGCTCAGTCATGTTCAACTCTTTGTGACCCCATGGACTGTAGCCCGCCAGGCTCCTCTGTCCATGAGATTTCCCAAGCAAGAATACTGGACTGGGTAGCCATTTCCTTCTCCAGGGGATCTTCCCCACCCAGGAGTCAAGCCAGCATCTGCTGCGTCTGTTGCATGGACAGGATTCTTTACCACTGCACTGCCTGGACCACCAGGGAAGCCCTGTGATTCATCTCTGTATGCGGTTCTTTTGCTCATGTCTGGTCCACAAAAAGATCTGTGAGGGTCCCTGTAAATTGGCTCCTGCACACAGGTCATGCACCACTGTTTGCTGAACTCTTCCTGATGGTTGGCACAGCAAGATGGTACGGGCTCACCTTGACCCATCGTTGCCTCAGCCTGAAATCAGCCATTTCTCCAAGGGACGCTGGTCCTTGCAGTGGGATTAGAGACCAAGATCTGGGCACCAGGGTTGCTCCCTGCCACTGAGGCTGTCCTTTCTTCTTGGCCCTTGCAGCTGACAGGTCTGGGCAGTTCGTGAGCACACACATTATGTACATACACACGAACATAGGCAAACATACATGTGCACGTGTGTTAGGGTCTTTCCTGCATTTCCCACGTCATCTGTATACGTCCCTTTATCAGCGAGCTGCCCCCCCTGGCCCCGGCCCTGTCCCAACCACATTAGGGTGTTTGGTTGCTTAGCTCCACAATGTGTCTGAAAGCTGCCTGTTGGCTTTGCCATCAGTGTTGTTTGCACTTCAACAAGCAATCTCAAGGAGCTCAGGACGCCCCCTCTCCCAGCACCTCTCACCAGAGGACAGAGGACCTCTTGCCAGCCCTGTGTTCAGAAGGTGCTGGTTGGTTCTGCCTTATGCATTTCCCTTCCATTCCTCTCCTTTGAATGAAGGATGACAGGATTCCTTTGTTTCTGTGTCCGTTCAGGTTCAGGGGTTTCCCTTTCCCATGCACATTGATTTAATTTTATTCTCTGAGCACATAGTTTTGAATATGCTCCTGAAAGTCAAGACTCTACATGCACAGAGAGAGGGTCCTCCGTCTAAATTCCTCCTACTCTATCTCTGCCCCCAAGCCAGATTAGAAACCAATTTCCCTGTTTTCTGGTTTATCTCAAACCTTTCCCTCTGTAAAGGTGAGTGGGTATGTTTGTTTTCTTATTTTCTCTTTTTTTTTTTCCTCCACAAAACTTATATTTTATATGCTCTTTTGCAATTTGCTGTTTGTCATTAGTAACATCTCCTGGAAATCACTCCTTGCTGTTTTCAATCTCTCTCGGTGTTGTTTTTTTTTTTAACTTTTGGCCGCCCTCCAAAGCATTGGGACCTTATTTCCCGGATCAGGGATTGAGTCGTGCTCCCTGCATCAGAGGAAGTCTTAACCCCTGGGCTGCCAGGGACGTTCCTCTTCCTCAGGTTTTAAAAGCAACACTATTGTAAGCATGTCCTCTGCTTGGACATTAAGGCAATTGCCAATACTGTACAATTACAAATAAGTGCAAAACATTGCTTTGTGCATTTATATTTTCATACTGTGGATGGTATAACTTCAGAGTAAATTCCTAGGCGTGGACTTGCTGGTTGTTGTTCAGTCACTAATCCTGTCTAACTCTTTGGGATCCCAGGGACTGCAGCACACCAGGCTCCTCTTCCTTCACTATCTCCCAGAGTCTGATCAAACTCGTGTCCATTGAGTTGATAATGCCATTCGGCCTCTTATCCTCTGTCTCCCGCTTCTC